CTCCTCTCGCGTGCACGAGCAGCTGGATAGAACGGGTGTAAATTACGCAGCTCATTTACGCACGTTTCCTGAAGATAGAAGTGTTTGTTGAATCTGATGTGACATGTTTGTACGAAACCTTTGTACGAACAAAAGTAAGAGAAATTTAGGATAAAAATACGAACATGTTCTTGCATGAGGCCCAATGTACCTACACTTTCAGATTATTTTTTTCCATAGTTATTTTTAAATCATTCAAGGCCAAATAATATTTTAACATCAATTCAAAAATACCCCAAAACATCATCATACTGAATTCAGATACGAAAACATTGGTGAATGCCACAAATTCTCCTAAATCACTCGTACGCACAACTTAAGAACAAATCTGTGCGTAAGAACGGTTCTTGCATGAGACCAATGTACCTACACTTTCAGATTATTTTTTCCCATAGTTATTTTTAAATCATTCAAGACCAAATAATATTTTAACATCAATTCAAAAATACCCCAAAACATCATCATATTGAATTCATATTGAATTTTTGTTAAAATAATTTTTAATTTTTTACACCAAAATAATTTAGGGGGGCTTTAAAATTTTTTAGGGGGGCTCCAGCCCCCCTAAAACAGGCCTAGTGATGCCACTGCCCCTGAACAAAGATGGTAAATGAATGTCCTCAGTATTAGGATGGAGGTCTCAGGAGGTTATGTGGATAGTGTTATTTATTTATTTATTTACTTTTGCAAACACAATTTTGAAGAGGACAACCTTCAATAAGTTGACAGTTTTTCTCAGTATCAGCTGTAAATTAAAAACATTAAGGTAGTACTATGACTCTTGTATCTGTCAAATAGCGAATTTATGACAACATAACTCATAACTCTTCTGTTTTGATGCCACCCCWGGATTTTCATTGGCCCCCKTCATTAAATTGTTTTCTGGAGGCTCCCTTGCATGAGCATAGATCTCCTGTTCATTTTGGGCTCACAAGGGTCAAGATRATTTATGTTRATTTTATTTATTTAAACTTTATTTCTATTATACGTCCCAGTTGAAATAAAGAAACTCTCACCTAAATCTGTAACAAAAAGATGGTGCTGAAGGTTCTGAAACAGTGTGTCCAGTCCCGTGTAGGACGTGAAGGAGCAGGAAAACATCTAAAACATGCAGGACAGT